TGGAAACGTGACACTACCAATGGCTGTTATTTTTTGAGAAAAAAAATTTTTGTTTCTCTTAATTATCCCTCCAAATAAAATATGTTACAAGTAACTTTATTAACTGCAAGGCAAATACGTGGGCCCATATACTAACCTTCTGGTATCAGAGGACCTTCCTTATGGCCATTCTCAGGCTTTAGAACTCTTTGCAAAGAGACACTATTGTTTGCCCATTCCTTGCTGTTCTTCTGCTGGCAGGCAAAGGCTTTTTTTCTTTAGGTGGGACTTCAGCCATTAATAGCCTCAAACCACTGGATTTTAGCTGGTGTGCTAATTCTTCCCTTTTTGGTTTCAGAGAGTTTTAATTTTAATTGTATTTTAATAACATGAGTTTAATTCTAATTAAACTCTTAATTCTGGAAGTAGGCGGTACAGCATGGCCTCTCCCAATTTGAAGAGACATTTGTCCAGCAGGCTGAGGCAAAGCGGCAGTCCCAAACCGAGCAAAATCAGGGAGCTGGATGGTGGACAGATTGTACAGTGGTGCCTCGCTTAGCGACATTAATCCGTTCCGGAAAAAACGTTGCTAAGCGAAAACATCGCTAAGCGAAATTTAAAAGCCCATAGAAACGCATTAAAATGCGATTAATGCATTCCTATGGGCTTAAAACCTCACCTTTAAGCGAAAATCCTCCATAGCGCCACCATTTTTGCTGCCTCTTAAGCGAGGAAAAACAGCGGGTGGCCATTTTGTTTTCCCAGCGGCCATTTTGAAACTGCCGATCAGCTGTTAAAAAAGGGTCGCTTTGCCACGATCGCTTCCCTGCGATCATCGCAAAGTGAAAAAACCCCGTAGGGGCCATCGCAAAGTGATAGCTTTTGCAATCGCAAAAACTCCGTCACTAAGCGATTTCGTCGCTCAACTGAATGATTGTCATGCGAGGCACCACTGTATTTGTCTTCAGTGTGGAAGGGATTGTCACTCTTGAATTGGCTTTCTCAGCCATACTAGACGCTGTTCCACATCCTCCATACAGAACACATTACCATAATCTCTCGAGACTGAAGGATGTCTACGTACAATTCTATTTTAACATTTTTAACTTTTTGTACTTTAATTTTACTGTTTTTTTAATTGAATTGTAAGCCAGCTCAGGCTTTTGGAGAAAGAGAGCATATAACGAACGAATGAACACGCCTAGAAGCTCTGGGAACAGGCTCCTGCACATGAATCATTATTATAGGTTAAGATAAAATAGTATCCCTTTTGTAGATTTCTTTCCCAGGAGAAGTCAGGTCCATTATATCCTTGTTGAGTTGTTGTGGAACAGCCAGAACTGTAATTTTTAAAATGCAATCTTTGGTTTTTAAAACTTATTTTAAAACAATCTTTCATGATATATTGCTTTGGGAGCCTTGGTGAACAGAAAAGCAGTTAACAAAGACTGTAAATAGATAAGTAATGTTAGTAAATCCAAGACAAAAGAGTTATCAAGCCAACATTGTATATTCATTATACACATTACAAATGCAAATACAGTTCCTTCTGACAAAGGTTTGATCCAATTTTAATTTTTATTGTTGCTTTGGACAAATATGAGATTCATTTGCCATCTAGTCTCCAACAAATCACAAGGATAACACAAAGATACTTTAAAGATATGCACGTTAATAAGCCAAAAGCAAAGTACTGTAAATTATAAAGAAATACTCTTATTTACAATATTGGTATGTTTTACTCTAATATACCTGTGCAACATTCTTTTTTTTTAAAAGGTGGAAGATATGCATTACATGTTAGAAACGCTTGCCCTCTAAGTTCACAATCCATCTGATTCATTTAGTTGTGCATAGGAAGCATTTTCTGTAGCATTTTCAGGTTTTGCTCTGTCCAAGACCTTGGTCCTAAGTTCCTTCATCCACATATTTCATTAACTGAGCCACAGAACCTGCCTCAATAAATACATTAAAACTGGAGTCCCACTTTATCGAAATCTATAATTTCTGTACAAAGGGATTTAGGACCAGAAGTTAGAAAGTAAATTATCTGAGAAACATGGCCCAAATACCACAGTTCATGCAGCAAGCACTATTTTATATTTGAAATTTTTGGAAGAAGTGAAAAAATGATTGCAGATGTTTTTTGTTTTTTATTAAAAGCAACACATGCTTGGCTATTTTAGAAGTGGTTTTAAAATGTAGTAAGGCACTACTAGAATGAATCAATTTTTCTTTCTGTTGTTTTATCTGTGTGCATAATAAAATAAATAAGTACTCTCAAGTAGTTAGACTACAAGGATATCTAAAACTTTAAAAAGCTGTGCTTTTGTTTAATACATCTGGTGAAATGCAAAGAGGTATTTTTTTAAACCACCCCAATAATTCCTATTATTACTTTGCATGGACAGTATTTTATTTTGACAATATTTAACATATACACTGAGGAATATTCCTGTAGAAGAGAAAGTGCTGAAATGCTGTGCTCTGAGGAAGGGAGAAGCTGTGGTTTCATTGCTTCACTCCCTGAAGGCCACATTACATTCTAAATGCTAAGGCTTTGGTTGAAATTTCAGATTTTATTGCACTGGACTTAATTTGTCAATACACAGTAAACTGATGAGTAAAACAACCTGAATCTCAGAATGTCTGAATACCATAGGAATGAGCAGTGTTTATAAAAATCATCAGGTTTTAACCGTGTATGTACTTTCTTTCTGTTATTTATCTTCCATACACCTTATTTTTCACATCGCTTCATTCCACATAGTCTACTTTTTCATGTCAAAGTGGCTAAAAATGCCTCCTCGTAATGTTATTCACTAATTTCTTCATAGTAACATTGAAAGAATAATGCTTGAGCCAGCTTTAGCTGATAAAATATGTTCAGATCTATCTAGTATTTATGTTGCTGAGGCTCTACTTCATATTGATGTTCCTTGTCAGTCAGGTCCAGTGATAAAAAAAACATACAGCTCTTCATATATTTACTGCACCCCATTACTCCTGTCTATTGTCCAGGCTCTCAGAAGCTGATAGAACTGAAATCCAGTAACATCTTTGAGGGTCAAACTTTACCCACACTTGCTCCAGTCAAGGAGTGGGCAAAAGGTATGTTGCCTGGGTGTGCAGTTCTTCTGAACACCTAGTTCCCCCCACCTCCACCCATTTTATTTCTACAAAATCATTGATTTCATCTTTTCTGGGATATGATTTGCCTTTTTTTTGGGGGGGGGACACATCAAAGGGCCCAAAACTTATTTAGGCTCAAAGAGGTATTTTTGGAATCCAGAAGTGATGTTTTGGCTACTTCCACTGGCACAGAGGGCCTCAGGAGGGGAATGTACAGCTCTCCAAGGTGTTGATCCTTGAGCCTCTGGAAGTTACACACCCCTACTCTAGTAAATAAAAGCAGGAGTGTCAGAAAATACCCTGGTCTTGCTATCTTTGCTAACTTCACTTGACATACTGAAAAATGATGTTGGACATTAAGCTACTTAATGCAAAATGCCCAGCTTCTGGAGCACTTTTTAAAAAGGTCTGCACTGTGTAACACTTCATCATTTGTTCATTAGAAACCTTAACTGTTCCAATTTCAGCAAATGAACATAATACCACCTTTCACATACTGATAAGTTTTTATAAAATACCCTCCGCATGTACACAAAAAGGTGAATGGATTGAAACTGGAACTCTTAATACTGGCATATAGGTCAGGATTGCTAAGTGCATAGGAAAAGAACAATAGTCATGGAAAAACGGATTATTAGGCATGAACCTGAAACATACTGCTTGACCATCTTGCTTGACCAATGTGTGTCCGAAAGCTCTTCAAATCAATCTTGCAACAAGATTTGCATACATGGAATATTTGGATCCCTGAAAGTATTTACCTGTGAGGATTTTATCATGAGAGTGGGCTCATGGAATGCACCTCACCATTAAGACCAAAGTCATACAATATTTTTGGTAACCCTAAAGTCACTACAAAAAAGTCACACATGATTTTTTTACATAAACAGGGAAAATGAGGAATTATTTCTTGCATTCTCTACATTCTAACCTCCATCCTGCTTGGATTATCATCAATGAGATTGACTGCACATAGTTTAAAACAAGATGCAATCTAGGCTAATAAGGCCACTTACACAAAGCACCATTGTGAATATTTCTCCATTCCTTTTTAGAATTTCCCTAAAACAGAAACCAACTTCATTTATATCTCTAAAGATGCCTAACACTAACAACTGTCCCTCTACAACCAAAACTTTGGATAAAAGTACACATCTGGAGTTTTCAGCCCCCTCCCTTCTTCCTGCCTTGAAGACCTGACCAAAAACTTGTTCTGTTGTCTCAGTCATGCATACTAACATGGCAGGTGATGCAGGGGAGATCCATCTTCAGAGTTAGTTCTTTTAATCATGTGTGTTCCAGGCTAGCATCATTGTTTTCCTGATGGCCCCATATTTCTCAATAGTCAGAAAAGTGAATTGGTTGCAAAATGATACAGTGAAGTTACTACCTGCCATGATTCCAAAAATATATTATCTCATCTCATAGCAAAACCTAGAAGATCTTTCTTACAGCTTTTCATGTGTGAAAATCTTTTGCAAGTAATTAAATGTTGCAGCAAAATCAACTCAAATGCTGGGCAGATATTTTGCATCCCAATGGAAAACTAAGTACAGTAAAAGCTTGTAACAGGGCAATGGAATGTGTCCTGCCGTCAGAGATCTCCTGCTTGTATCTGGATGCTTGATTAAATAACTGCTACAAAAGTGGAGGAAGAAAGTGTCTTGAGCAACCAAGAGCCAAATAAAAAGGAGTCCATTGTTAAAGCAGTTTCAACTGAACCATAAAAGGAAAGGAAATGTGGGCAAAGTTATAAGCAAAAAGATGCAGAAAATCTTAACAACATCCCTTGTTGCTTAAGCACAGCAGCTCATTTTTGAGGATTGTGAGCCACCTTAGGTCTTGCAGGATGTGTGTTTGTGTATAGCTTGTTATCCAAAGTAGAGTGGTTCACAGTAATCTAATTTATTGAATGAATTGGGAATTATGGCATAATACATGTTTCAGAGGAAAAGTCTAAAAATGTAACTGTTAGCAAAATGAGCATTTGCCACCCGGAAGACCATGATACTTTAATACTGTTGTATTCTAGCACCCCGGTCCTATGGCATGTGTGCATAGCTCGCAGGACTTTGCTCATCCTATTTAAAGAACAGAGAGGAAGGAAGAAATCCATTCTGTTTAGCAGAAGGGGAAAGGGGGGCAGGGGGGGAATGAATCTGAGCCTCTGCTCCTGAAATGTCTGTCAGTGACATATTAATATTTTTTTAGTGGTGGTTCTACAATGCACACACTGCCAAACACTGCTAACAGTATCTAGTTGTATATGTGATTTCCCCTATCCATTTTGGCTTGGAAGGCTGCTTCTGTCCACATGCTGCTCTAGAATGTAGCATGGAGTATTTCTGTGGCTTTGTGAAAACTGCTACTCCATTATAAACAATAAGAGGCCTTTTTGTTTTGTACATGATGGCATTAAATTAATTACAAATATCATGTAGATTGTCACTAAATTACCTCCACCTATTTCCGGAAAAGGAAGTTATTGACACTTGTGCCACATCATTTTTTTCAGCAGTAAAACTGATCAGATCAATTTGATCTATAATGTCTCAGACTTCGGTTTAAAGGGTATACCTGGATGGAACAGATGCTTTGAAAATGTATGTTTCAGACTGAAACTTGATAAAATATTACCTGCTCCCACAATACAGCAGCAGCTAGTATGCTTGGTCTCATTGATAGTGAGGGCAAGTCTACGAACAGGATTGGACTTTCTAATGTGACTGATATGGTCCCTAATCAGCTTTTCAAGACAGCTTTCTAGGTAAGAATAATACATACCACCTGGGTCCAAAGCACCTTATTGGAAGCAGGTTCCACTGATTTCACTGCAGCTTAATTCCACAAAGCAGGGAGTAAGAGGATAGTCTACATATCTATAGTTTATAAACTAAAGTGTATTTCTAATGTGGACCACTTCAATCCTCATTGAATTAAATGGGAATTTAGAGGAAATTATTTGATCAGGATTCTACCAGCCTGATCGGAAAATTCAGCCGGGGCTGAGATGGTGTTCAGAAGTGCCAGAAAGGAGGAGGCTTTTCACGATACCAAATGTGTGGAGAGGTTCAAGAGACGTTTTAAAAAGCTGTCATCCTGAGAAATATTAGGATCACGTTTCACCTTGGAATAGGTGGCAGTGGGGGAGCACCTCTTTCTCTGCGACTGGATCCACCTAAAGAAAAAAAGAGGAGACATATCAATCCTCTAAAATATTTTTATTCTCAGATGTTTATGCCCAAGCTATCCATCTAAAATGCCTTAATGGGTGAGAGTTTCGCCCACTGTTTCGCCCACTGCAGGGATGGATAGCTTAAATCTTTTTGACAGTGATCACATGATGTCATTGCTGAAATAAACCAAATAATCCCCAGAGTGTTCCTACCAACACCTTTCTAGCCCCTGTCAGGGGTTTCTATCCTTTTTTGTGTTGGATAGTTCTGGTTTGGTCCATTTTCAGCACATGTGAGTGTTGGGAATGGACCAAAAGCAAGCCTTCTGATTGTCAAGACCCCTTCCATTTTGAACTCCTGATATGAGTTGAGAAACTGCCCCTGTTTCTCAACTGGCCCTTTAAACAAAGTGTTTTGTTTTTGTTTTGTTTTTTAAATCACATATGGCACATCAGCAGTGGTCTACCAGAGTCTTTAAAAAAAAAAATCACTTCCCCCACCCCTCTGCTGAGGAGCAGAGGAAGTGTTCAATTTGCCAATATCCAGAGGTGACTTGCTTATTAAACCACTTTGCAATATTGGAAATTCAAAACAGATGGAGCCTGACCAAATACAGTTGCTTGATCTCCAATGTGCCATTTGAGTGTGGGATTCACACCAAATGGCATATTATATCTATACCTGAACCCAGGTGACCCTTTTTTAGCTCACACCAGCCTGGTCCAAAATGACCAGTGCAGATGAGCCCTCAGTTTTAACACATGTCTATTATTCATTGAGTGGATATGAAAAATGCAGGAATATTTTATGTCTTATATGTGACATAAAAATATAGAGCTGTGATGATTTGTCATGCCTGTGAGGTTCTTAATATTAGTGAGAGTTGTTCTGTTTGAGACTTGAAAGGAGAAAATAATTACTATTTCTCAACCAATACAGCCATGAATTTTTTCATACCGCTATCACAGTGCGTTGTGCAGGTTTTGAATGCATTACACCCCCATCCGCCCATATTAACCAGAGCAGAGATTGTAGACAAGAAAGAAAGAGGTGGAAGGACATTTGCACTAATGAGGAATTACACTGTCATGCTGGCTTTAATTCTTAGAGAAGTTACTGCTTTCTTTCAATCAAATTATAATGAAAATATAATTTATACTGCAACACTGATGTTCTTTGACCTGAGTCCAGAGTATGCCATATGCCTTTTGCCTTTGTGTCATTTATGTCACTTTTAAAGCAAACTTTTACCCTTTTTAAGTCTCAATTAAAATTTTAAGCCCTGTGTGAGCAAGAAGTCTGCCTTTCAATTTCATTCTTATTTTGAACAATTGCCTCCCAAATGATTATTATTTAGCTATCATTTCACACCTAAACTTCCTCTTTGACTTAATCATGAAACCTTGGCCCCAGGAGTTATTAAATAAATAAATAGTTTATTAAATAAATAAACTATTTATTTATTTAATAGTTCTCATTCACATTAATTTCAAGAGAAATTAGAAAACAGAAAATGCACATGCATAAGGGATCTATAAAAATAGCACAATCTAAACAAAACAGACACAACAAAAATAATAGAGAGAAACAGCAAAGCAACAAAATGTACATGTATAAGACGTTTTCCCTGTCTTCCCCCCACACACACACACACAAAAGGGAATCATGAAAAAGAAGCCTCTGCATTTTTTTTGGCAGCTAAAGTAGCTCTTCCACTGGATGGCAACTAGAGAAGGGAAGGGTCAGAAGTCTTTATGTATCTTCAGGGAATTCTTGGAATATTCTGCAAGTTAGAATCCAAAAATCCAAGCAGTGTATCCCTGCTGGCTACATTACATAAAGCTAGCTATGGGTAAGTCAGGTTTCAGCTGATGACAATTCAGGAGCTTCTCTCTAAAACAAGCAGTGAAGCTGGAGGGAACTGCGGCCTCAGAAGTGCAGAAAAGGAGAAGTTACTGGCATTTCTCCGTGTCTATTGATTCTTTCCTCCTGCTTATCTCTCCACTGCAGCCTAGCCCACAGGGAAGGAGGCAATAGGTGGAGATAAGCTGCACATTTATTTTTATTGCATGTTTCCTTTTGAGAAGCATTTAAAGAACTCTCTAACACAGACACCAGAGTAATGTACAAATAGAGTCAAAACAGTAAAACATAATTAAAACAATAAAGTCTAAAGGAAATAATCAAAACACAGAAAAGAAGCAAAAGCAAAACAAGTAGGCCAAATCTATCAATTAAAATGCCTTGGCAACCAGAAAGGATTTTAAACTGGTGTCAAAACTTTGCAAGTGGTGGTGTCAGTTGCATATCTGTGGGGTGTTCCACAGGTGGGGTGCCACAACCTAGAAGTCTCCTTGATTTGCCTTGACACAAAGCATACTTGAACTACATGAGCGAGAGACCCTTTTGTAGGTATTCGCAGTCTGACGCTGCTGCAGAAAGCCAGCCAGTTGCTCCCGATTCCCGGAGACTTTGATCCCCCAGTTCCCTCTGCCTATCACAGAGCAGGGGACTTCTTTATCCTTCATTCACTAAGAACTGGGCTTGCATAGGATTATTTTTTTCCCTATTGTGACTAAGGAGGTGGTGGTAGGTTCCTTCTTTCATAACCCATGACCAACGAGATCACTGGGATGACCTGCCAGGATAGGTGGCCATGTCTCGACAAACGTTATTTGTGCAGAACCCATAAATACTTTTCTCCAGTTCCACCGCTTCGACTTCCCACTTAAACTATTACCACCTACTGCATTTATTTAAAAACTACCTGAGTGTTCAAAGTGCTTCATTTATTTACATCTCAGCAATCATTAACCAAACGTGCTGTTTTCAAGCAGGCTTCAAGAGAAAATACTTACTTCTATTGTCATTCCTTGCCAGTTTACTGGGGTAGCTTTTGTTCATGGGCACATATGGCTCTGGAGGTGGTAAGTCAGACAGAGGATGGAAGGAGAATCGGCTTTCCCACTCATCTAAGGAACACACAACCGTAACAACCATTTTTTTTGCAGAATTGTCTCCAACACTATTATAGACAGACTGTGTGTGCCACTTTGATATGGTATCCCACCCATACATTCAAGGCCATTTCGCTATAATTTGTACTGCTAATCTAAAAACTACCTCTACAGTATAAGACAAGGTGTGTGGAACTATAGCTATAGGGGATGAATCCTCTTCCCCTCCACAAGTCTTCTAAAGATTGGATGGAGTTAGAGGGCATGGTCGGGCTGGGCTGAATTTTTCCACACACTACTTGCAAACACATGACCATGTGGACAGCTTTGCTCTTCCTGTTCCTTGTAGAGGTAGGGAGAGAATGCCAGGAATGGAATCCCCCTCTATGTTTGGTCAGTGGATTTAAGCAATGCTAGGCTGACTATTTACAGTCAAACATACTCTGCCTTTTGCCCAGCAGTCCTATTGCTATGGGAGTACGTTTCCCATAAGCAGATATTATCAGCTGAGGTGTACACCCTCTTCAATTCAGTGTGCTTACTTCTCAGCAAACAACACATGAGATGGTGATGTTACTTATATTTTTTAAACACAGCTTGGGGTCTCATTTCAAGGCAGAGGAAGTACTGTATATTGCTTTTAACACTGGGGAAACACAAGACACTTAGTTTGCATTAAGCAGCACCATTTATATTGTTACAGCCCCATGTCTGGCTGCAAGCATTGTCAAATCCCCTTCTTCTCCTCTTGCTTTTCTTTCTAATCCCATCCACTCAACCACCAAGCAGATCATCCGGCTTTCTCCATAGAATCAAACAACCACATTACTCTTAGCGTATCAGCTTACAGTGTTGTTGTAATACCCTTGCAGCTTCCTTGTACAGACCTGCATTGATTCCAAGCAGGAAGGCCTCTACTTACAATTGTTACCTGTGCACTGTTCCTAGCGAACTGCAGGCAACTGCTTGGAAAAACATGAATGATGATACAAGCAGTTTGTGGTTTTGTACTGGCACACTAATGAGGTGGCTCATTCTTATCTGTTTGTGGACTGAAATATTTTTAAGAACCAGCTCCATTTGTAACCAAATTCTAAAGTGTTTGTACTGAGGCATTAAGCATTAAGAAGATTGTTTTGCTAATTTTTTAAAACTATATGAGCTTACTATTAAAAAAAATTATTACCACCCACTGCACTTGTTTTCTGTATCTGAAAGTAATCAATCCTGTTTGGAAACTGATCTGTATGGGATACTGGTGGTTCCACAATGGGACTGTAAGCCCTTGCACGTACTGTACAGTTTCCTATATTAATAGTTCCCTCTGTCAAGGGTGGGAAATCTCTGGCTCTTTGGGTATTTCTGGATTACAATGCCCACAATCCCTCACTTTTAGTCATTCTGGATGGGGCTGATAGGACTTGTAGGCCAAAACACCAAGAGGCTCCAAAGATCCATGC